GAAGGAAGGAAGGAAGGAAGGAAGGAAGGAAGGAAGGAAGGAAGGAAGGAAGGCCACTTCTGTACATCTGCTTTCTATCCCTCAGCTAAGATTCCTGACTTAAGAAACTTATGGGAAAGTCATCTGCTTGCTTCCATTCTGAGGATTATACAACATGCCAGTGTTTTGAGCAAGTGTGTGGGTAAAATACATGCTTTTGTAGAAACTATTATCATAAGCACTTCAAGTTCTGTAAGTTTCTGTTTTTATATGATTTTTATGGTTAATCTTGAAATGTACTTAAATAATATTTACAGATATGACCTATTTCACTAAAAAATTGAGTACTTATGATAGAGCCTAAATTTTCCTAAATGCAGCTTTCAGCTCAGTTATTAACAGAAGCTAGAATGTTAGGCAAGCCTTCCATGGGTCTTGATCCCTCTGATTCTGCTACCCTGGACCAAAGTGTTTCTTTAATTAGCATCTCTTACCTCTGGTCTTCAGCTCCATGCCTGACTTTCTAAAGGACAGCCATGGTACATGACCAGAATATTTACCAGACACTCTGACACAGACACTAAGGTTTGCTTCTAGATTCCTAAATTAAAATATGGACATTGTCCTTATAAACTATCACGATCAAAGAAATGATTCTAAACCAACCAGGTCTCTATAGTATAACTACACCCTCCTATATCTTCAGATGAGAACCACTTTACAAATTAAAGACTTTGCCCAATCAAAACTTAATAACTTACCTTTCTGAAAAGACATAGGAAATGCAGAAGGGAGCCACTTCTATGAAAGGCTTGCCTGCAAGTCTTCCTGCTCTTGCTGTCTATTTTTTACCCATCAGAAATTGACTTGAGAGAAATGGGGAAGGAAAAAAAAAAAAAAAAACCACTTCAAGTTAGCATGTGTTGGCACAAGTGGGTGTTGTGGGGTGGCTCAATTGTAATGCAAATCTCTTAGCTGTCAAAATCAAACAGAAGTTTGCTAACACATTCAAATGATTAATACCTAGAACCGTATCTCAGAGTGGTTTAGGCATAGAATAATATTTTTATAGAACCGTATCTCAGAGTGGTTTAGGCATAGAATAATATTTTTAAAGTGCATATTTTAATGGAGGCCTTTATATAATACAGTAGAAATGTTAGTACAAACTGAAATTGCAAAACTAACTTTATTTTTAATTGACTTTTCTTTTACCCTGTGTTTTTGCCCCACTGCAGCCAGCCAGCCAGGAAGGCCACACCTGTAGTTTCAGGGAGTACATTGTTCCTACAATACTGAGAAACTTACAAGCAGCCAGGCAGCACGTCGAGATAGCAGGTCCTCCCTCCCAGCTATACCTGCACCTCCATGGAGCCCATTGTCTCTGCAATTCTGAGAAACTTGTTTTTCTTAAAAAAAAAAAAAAAAACAACAACCTTTTGTTAACTGAAAACCTTTTTGTTAACTAATCTGCCCCTGGTCTGGTGTAACTATGGTGATCTGATGTAACTATGGCTATTGACTTTGCCCCATAAGATGCAATTATGGTTTTAAGCTTTCTAAACCATCTATCTTTATATCATTGGATACAAGGGCACAATTCAGTTATGGGTGGCAACATCACTGTTATTTTTAACAGAAAGCTGTATTAAAACTTAAATACAGAGCCCAGGTGGTAGGTATATGAATATTCCCTATTCAACTATTTCAACTTTTCTGTTTATTTCTTCTTAATAAAATGTTGGTCAGTGGTCAGAGTGGATGAGAACTCAAGCTGTATAGAACCATCAAACTCATTTTATCATATACATGTATCAAACTCAGTTTGGCTGTGTGCACATGGCTACAACACACCCTGATGGTGTAATTGAGCAGCCCAGATTCACAGATGCTCCAGGGCTCTCCTCCAGCTAGGGCACCAGTTCACTCCTGACTATAAAAATAAACTTGAACAGCAAATGTCACAGAAAACAGTAAATAAACCAAATGTAGGTAATAGAAGTGGGAAGTTCTAGTGTTCTACACAATGGGGAGGGGCACAAAGAGGGGCTATAGTTCATAATGTTTGTTACTTTAAAAATAACCAAAAGAGAGGCACTCAAAGGCTCATAATACAAATGAAAAAAAAAAAATGAAAATATTAGTTGCCTTGATCAGTACATAGTAAACACATACCAAAATATCATACTGTATCCTAAAAGCATGTGCATTTGCTATAGTATAATCATGCTAATTACCTTGATTTGACCATTGGACACTGTATTCACATATCAAATTATCCCAAGGTTCCCCATAAATTTGTACAATTAAAATAAAAATAACAAAATCTATGGGTATGGTCCAGTGGTAGATAGAACATGTGCTTTGCATGTGTAAGGCCCTGGGTTTTATTTCCAGCACTAAAAACAAGCAAAAAACCAACCAACCAACCAAATAATAAATAAATAACAAGTAACCTTCTGTGACTGAGTGAATTTCTACTGTACACACTGCTGTCTCTTGTGCTGCCCATCAAGACATGGAGAAAGAGGGGCTGGAGAGACGGCTCACCAATTAAGGGTACTGGCTGCTCTTGCAGAGGACCTGGGTTCAGTTCCCAACACCATAGTGGCTAACAACTCTCTGTAACTCTAGTTCCAGGGAATTTGACCCCTCTTCTGGCCTCCACAGGCATCACACTCATACACTAAAATATAAATGAATAAATCATTAAAAAATTATTTTATAAAATACTTTTCATGTGTATGAGTGTAAAATAAGTGCACCCACACTATGCAATGCCTGCAGAGGTCAGAAGAGGACGTTGGATTCCCCTGGATTATTGTTAGCCACCATGAGGGTACCGGGAATTGAACCCAGGTCCTCTGCAAAAGTAGCCAGTGCTCTTAACTGCTGAGCTGTCTCTCTAGCCCTCTATTATTTTTATTCTATGTGTGTGAGTGTTTTGCCTGCATGTATGTAAGTTCACCATGCATGTGCAGTTCCCCACAGAGGCCAGAAGAGGATGCCAGATCCCCTGGAACTGGAGTTAAAGATGACTGTTAGCCACTATGTGAATGCTGGGAATCAAACCTGGTCTTCTGAAGATCAGCAAGTGTTCATAAGCACTGAACCATCTCTCCAGCACCAAATAAATCTCTTTAAAAAAAAAAAAGAAAAGAAAGAAAAATGGAGAAAGATAAAAACAAACAGTAGAAAACGCATTTCTAAAGGGAGTTCAGTTCTTCTTTAGCACATGCTTACTTTGTACACTACTGTTAGGAGTCTATGTACCTCAGATTGAGATGTAATGCACCCAGATGATAGTGAAAGAATTCTTTTTGTCATTGTATTAGCAATAATTTTATAAGATAAATACATGATCTAGAAAATAAAATAATATTTTGAATAAAATTATGTACAATGTGAGAAAATATACTCATTATATTCAGAAATGCATGTTATTTTTAAAATTCAGCAGAATAGTTTTTCTCTCAGTTAATACAAGAGGATCTTGGATTCAAAGATTGCTAAAAATACTGCTCAGAGTTAACAAGAGATGTGAAAATAGTTACTATTATTAGCTTGCTGGGGTGGCTGAAATGCCGGATGGGTCTAATGCTCTGGTTGCCATGGTGCATACTGTTGAACTCCTCATATAGAGGATAAAGCTGTTCTCAATCAAGGACTGAAAAAATGAATTCTGTTGCATAGACCACAAAAGAGCTTTTTTTTATCTTTCCTTTGCTCTAAAGCATCAGGAGTCACAAAATATACACTAAAGTGTGGGATTTTATAGACCTGCTTAACAGAAAGGGATTAAACAGTGACTTATAATCAAATTTGGCCAGCTCTATTTCATTTTTTTTCTCATCTACAAAGGTACAGCTTCCAACAAGAGAGTGAAAGGCCACATCCTTTCTGATCCATCTCAAATATTTCCACATTCAGGCTGATGTATAGTGCAGTAAAGTGTCATAAGGGTGTATGTGTTGTGATCATGCATGTCTGTCTATGACACTTCTGCTTCTTACCTGTTCATGGACAGTCTCTCTAGTATTTACTGCCTTCTTACACAAACTGCATATAATAATATTTATCACATATATAGGTAGGCCTGGTGGCACATACCTTTAATTCTAGAACTCAGGAGGCAGAAATGGATGAATCTCTATGAGCTCAAGTTCAGCTTCATCTTCATAGGGAGTTATAGGCCAGCCAGGGCTACATAGTGAGATCCTGTCTCAAAAAAATGTAATTGGCACACAATCATTTCTGTTAGGATCACTGAGATCTTTCTGAAGGTCCTATATTCTGAAAGGAGCTCTCCAAATTAAAATTTTCATTATTAAATGTTGCCATTTATAATCAGCTTTAATGGTTGAATTATGTCTGCTTTCTTGTGCCTCCTACTTCCTAGTATCTTTCCCACCCCAAATTTCAACAACACCCTTCCCCTGCAAAAAAGGACTAAAGCTGTCAGCATTGCTACAGTCCCCTGGCAGGAAGCCTTGTTAGGGCCCTCGGCACATACATGCTGAAATGGCTGAAGTGGCCTGGCCACGAGAAACCCCAAGTTGCAATACTTTTCTCATGTGTCACTTCTTCACTTCTCATTCACAATAATTTATTATTATTATGTGTGTGTGAGTGTGTGTGTAGATATGACATATCACCCCATATATGGCCTCAATCACCCTCTTTCTAATGTAATTAGTTCAAAGGACTAAATGAAATATATAATTGTTGAAGCATTTTCAAACTGCTGAAATTACAGTCTCAGCAGCATTGAGTTACTGAGATCTCTCTTTAGGAAGTTAATAACCAAAATGTACTTATTTTTCTGTTGGTGAGGTAAATTTGAAGAGGATAATATTGCTACCTTCAACTAAGTGCTGCCTTGTCTGCACTCATACACATAAAATAAAAATAATAAAATATTT